AGATCCACATCATCCAGATCTTCGGGGCCAAGTTGTTGATGGCAGCAGCACATCTGATATTTCTCTCCAGGATGGAGTCACAGCCAAACAGGAACAGACCAGATGAAGCTACTATGAGAAAAAGCAGAGAGAGCAGAACGTTAGAGATTGAACTAATAGATTCTGCAGAGTGGGAGAATAGAGATAGAATGAAGCAGGATGATGTCAAAAATAAAAAAATAAAAAACAATCCACTGGAATTTGTTTCCAAGTTTGAAGACATTTCGGTTTCCATCCAGGAAGCTGATGGGAAGGAATAGTGTTGAGTTTGAGGTTTTATACAGTAGCCCAACAAAGACTTTTTTTTTGTTTTGAAGACATGCAAATTGAAACAGACGAAGGGGAAGCAAAACGTCTTCAAACTTGGAAATAAAGTCCAGTGGATGGTTTTTAAATTTCTTTTTTTTGGAATGACTATGACCTGGATGACTGAGAATCTTCACCAGCGTGAAGCAGAATGATGAAATAGTGGTCCCTATAATTTTTGTAGCTTCCATATTTAAAGTCATAGGGAATCTGCTGTTCCAACCATTGCATTTCCGAATTCTCCCGATTGGTGCACGACTTTACACGAGTGAATAAAGTGAGTCAATTATCAAGGGGGCGGAAGGTTCGCAAGCAAGTTTGGTTGTGGCCGGTTTCTCTGAAGCATCTTGCTAACCAGTTAGCAACTTAGTGCTAGTAGGTTCCCAATGGGAAATTCCATTGGGACCAAGTAGCACTAAATTGGTGCCTTACAAACGACACTGTCAAGGAACGCTATGGACAGAGGAAACATGCAAGAGGAGGAGAGTTTAGTGTCGGAGGTCGTGGATGAGTCTCCTCCGTCATCCATTTTTTATTTNCGCAACGCTGCCAGTTCTGTTAGCTCTACGCCTGCTGAAGACACAGACGTCCATCCCCGTGAACACTGGGACGCAACTCAATGGGAAAGGAAATTATTCTTATTTTAATCGTTGCGTTTAATAGCTGCGACATATGAATCAAGATGCTATGACTAAAAAAATTTGATTGACAGATGACCGCTGATATATGATTGGCTGAATTTAGGTGTTCAGGCTGACATATAACTAACTGGCCTGCAGAAGATAACGAAAAACATGGATTAAAAAAAAATTATTACATTTTGGGACAATATGGTCTGATAGAGATTACATTTATATACATGTTTAAGCCAGAATGATTTGACATTTAAATATGATTCCTCTACAACTTTAAGGTGTGACTTGGTTCTTATTTTATAATTCAGCTTAATTAAACTCAGTGGAAATGTGGGATTATAGTGAAACATGCAGGATCTGAGTGGGTCCCAGGGAGGGGCGGGGCCTCTCAGGGCGGCCTCTGTGCGGTCAGGCCGGGGAAAAGTCATCCCGAGGGGTGGGTCCTCCTTCTCCTCCTCCCTCCCGGCAGCAGAAAAGGAAAGCCCACCTTTTTTCATTGTTAAGGACGCGGTGGAATGTGATGGTTTGATCTCCAACGGACCAGGGAGGGGAAGAACCAGAGCGAAGCAGCGAAACAGCGGGTTGAACCCCCCTGTCCTCCCCCCTCCTCCGGTCCGGGCTGGGAATGTTTGGAGGACCTTGTCCCGGGCTCAGTCCTACCGCCGGGGGGAAGTTTGTGGATTAATTCGAGCTTTTTCTGCTTGGACCCCGGAGACGGAGCCGTTCAGGTAAATCTGAGTCTGTTTGGGTTTTTGTCTGATTATTTTGAAGCGGAAATGTTTGCTGGGCTTCCCGAGGGTGACCCAGTCAGTTCGGACTGCAGGAGTCTGAACTGCGGCAAGTTTTCAGCACCACCTCCTCCTTCACCTCCTCCTCCTTCTCCTCCGCTGAAGGGAAAACCATCCAGGTTTGCGGAGAAAAAGCCCGGGTTGCTAAAAATCTAATCTCCTGTAGGCTGACTATCTGTTGGATTCCGCTGCTTTTCTCACGGTTTGATGTTTTTATTTCATGTTGACTTTTGTTGGACGTCATCACTACGTCACCACAGGCTGCTGCTGCTGCAGCATTAGATGTTAGAGGAGGAAAAAAAAACCCATAATGAAGCACAGGCTGCTTGGTAGGGAAAAGGATTAGGGCCACTGAAAAAATAAAAAAGTTAACTGATGATTACATTTTATTTCAGTTTAATATGAGAAAACAGTCAGAATTCTGACTCTAACTCAGCATTCTGACTTTTTTTCATAATTCTGACTTTTTTTCATAATTCTGACTTTAATCTCAGAATTCTGACCTTTTTTCCTCCAGAATTCTGACTCTTATCTCAGAATTCTGACCTTTTTTTCTCTTCCAAAATTCTGACTCTAATCTCAGAATTCTGACTTTTTTCTTTTCCAAAATTGTGACTTTAATCTCAGAATTCTGACTCTAATCTCAGAATTTTGACCTTTTTTCTCTTCCAAAATTGTGACTTTAATCTCAGAATTCTGACTCTAATCTCAGAATTCTGACCTTTTTTTTTCTTTTCCAGAATTCTGACTCTTCTCTCAGAATTCTGACCTTTTTTCTTTTCCAGAATTGTGACTTTAATCTCAGAATTCTGACTCTAATCTCAGAATTCTGACCTTTTTTCTTTTCCAAAATTGTGACTTTAATCTCAGAATTCTGACTCTAATCTCAGAATTCTGACCTTTTTTCTTTTCCAAAATTGTGACTTTAATCTCAGAATTCTGACGGTTTACAAACATGTTAGCATCAAGCCGTAGCCATGTCTAGAGACTAAACTAGCTGTCTTGTTTTAATTAATTAATAGAATAGCATCAAAGGGGACCCCTCAGGCACATATAAAGTCGCCTAATTCCGTCATTTTCCACCAATGTGTTACTGGCCCTCTCAATCAACTCACATCTTTGTCTTCCTTCATGGTGCCCATCTACATTAAGATCTAAAATTCTGAGATTAAAGGCAGAATTCTGTGAAAAAAGACAGAATTCTGACTTGTTTCCCATATTAAACTGAAATAAAATATAAAAATCAGCTAATTTATTTTTTTTTTTTCAGTGTCCCTAATCCTCTTCCGTAGCTTGGTGTTCTGGAAGCTGATGTTTTGGTGTCTGTTAAATTTGGATGCACTGATTCTGGAGTATTTCCCTCTGTTTTGATCACCATGGGGAGATTTGGGACTTTCCTTTTAGTTTCTGAACTGTGGAACTAAAGTAAGATTTCAGGTACTTCCTTATCCAAAATGTCCCCTTAAAGCTGCAGGCTTTTCTGTAGCAACAAACTTAGTTTCATTGTAGCTTTTAATAATTTTGAACAACATAAATCTGCGTTGGGCATTTATCACATCATTTATGATGAAAATTATCTCAACATAAGATTTTGATTTATCATTTTATCAATAAATTAGAATTAATGTTGAAAATTTTCAAAAGAAAATTGGTGAATTGCCAAATAATGTATTTTTACTTTCTTCTTCTGTTTCTTTCTCTTTTGTTTTCTATTGAGAGATTTGACAAATTCAAAGCATATGATTTAATGTGATCACCGTGGGATGTTTAGTGACATTAATCACTCTTCTTTATACATAAAGGCTTCCTAAAGAAAGCTTTTAAATGTGTATAGTTTGCAGCAGCAGTATTTGTGGAGCTATGATTGCTTTGACATGCAGCTGAGAAAGACTTGTATAAATATGTTTTATATAATATCATATCGAAATAAGATTTTAAATCTATTCCCTTGCCCAATTAGTGACACCACATAGATTATAACTCAATAGATCAGTTTGTTTCCGTACATCCACTGGTGTTTTTTCCTCTGTGTTTGTTCTAATTACTCCAAGCTCTCAGGATATTGAGCTTTCCAGTGTCTCTCTTTTAGAGGTTTTCTTCAGAACTGGGTTATCAGCAGTATTGTGTCCCTGGTCCTACTCTGTGTCTGCATCTTCACTACACACTATACCATCATCATCATTCCAGTAAACCCAGGAGGGCAGAATTTAGATAAAATCACTCTCTTCTGTTTATAGGAGAGCAGATGATAAGGAAGATAAAGTGGTATGTCAGCATGCAATGTCACTGTACTGGAAAACCCCTTAAACTGTAGATGTGAAGGCAAGCAAAATAAAATGCTATTTATACATTTTGCAAGTGGTGGAAATGGAAAGGAAGAACTAAGATTGAACATAGACTTTTTTTAAAAATCAATTGAAAACAATAATGTTTGCGTAATCTACAGCAGTAGATTAATCCAAAGCCAGACTCTGGGTCCAGCTTGCTTGCAATAAAGTCAATACTAGTTTTTCTGTTTGAATATTGTGTGTCCATAAAAAAACAAAAACAAAAAACAATTTATTTCTCACAAGATTTTCTGGGTTCAAAAGTTTGCAAGTCATTCGGATTCCCATAACATCGCTATACGATTCACTAAGTATAAATCCCATGTATATTGACAATAAAACAAAAAAACCTAAAAGTATATGTAGTATTTATAGCTTATCTTAGAGATCGTCAATATCTAAATTGGTCTTTTAATTAGTATTATCTAACATCAAATATCTGTCTTAGAGGTTATAACTACAGCCTCTCCTTTAAATGATTCATTCAGAGAACGTTTAGCGAGATGTAAATTAAAAGGATTAATTTTACTTAAAAATATATATATATAAATCATTGTTTTATACATTTTGATCAGTCCAAAATCTGTTAATATTTGTGTACGTTTATGATCCCACCGTTAACAGGAAAGGATTCTGCATCAGCGGGGTTATTAGGGTGCAGTCTAGTGAACAGAGCTCAGGTGTTTCCAGGTCTTGGTAGCGTGATAAAGCTGAGAAATGGCTTCATCTGCATGTTACATTTCTCAGATTTCTCAAATTCTTGAAACATCTGCTGGTCCAGAGTGAAAATGTTCTGCTAGCAGATTACAAAACACAGAGGCAGACTGTTTAATTTTGCAACAGTGCAGCATTGCTAGGGCTGTCCCGATACAGCTTTTTCATTTTCCGATAAAATCCTGACCGATACCTATATTGACCCAATGCGATATCATCAGCACATATCATTCATGCTTTTATTTCTAACTTTGTACTGTAGAATGCTAATAAAGATTATCAGTCATCCAGATTATAGTCATTGAAAAAGCTAGTTGGAGAACAATCCACTGGACTTTGCTTTCCAAGTTTGAAGACGTTACGCTTCCCATCCAGGAAGCTTTCTCAATTCAAAATGTCTGGATTAGCGTTGAGTTTCAGGGTTTTATAGACTGGACAAACATGAGCCTTGTAATGGCTTAAATACCATGAAAATGAGACAGTCTCAATGTGTTAATGCTCATTGTCGTTAATGCTCATTGTTGTCCTGGCTGACCTGGTGCACATGCACTGTAGAAAGTTAAAAATGGCTTGATCAAGTGTCAAGGTCAACTATCAGTCAACGGGTTACAGAAACTTTAAATAGAGGCATGTGTTTCTAGCACCTTGACAATATTGGAGATTTTAGATGCAGCCTAATATTATCCGATAATAGTTTTTTACCTAATAAGATTGGGACCCCTACGGTTGCCAGTTGCTTTCATGAATGCTAAACCTGGAAGTTACAGGTCTAGCACCCCTAGTGGCATAAAATGTACACAGTGTTGCTTTAAGAATTTTAAAGGAGAAGTCTGGTCTGCAAGGAATAATCAATGCATTATTTATACTAAAACTAATACGTTTGAGGTTATTTAATGAATTTTGCATTAATCAGTAAAAAAATAAAATTATAATTTTCATCACGATCACTTATTCGGGAGCGGCCATTTTTGCCCAAATATAGTAACGCCTCCCTCCTGCCATCTTCCGGCAGTGACGTCACGGTGCGGTAAGCCTAGCGCCATTCTACCCGCTTTACAAGCTAAATCAATGGGAACTACTAGACACATCTGCAATCAACAACAATTATTGAAGATTTCCAGAGGACTTCACCATTGAAATTCACCAGAGCTATAGTGAAACTGACAATGCCCACGTGCATGGCAGCTGGATGCTGGAATGCATTGTGGAAACGTGAAAAAAAAGAGTTATTCCACCTTTCTGATTCCTGATCCTCCACGGACGGGTTGGTCGTTGGATCGCCAACTTGAAGAGGGAGGATTTGCCATCGAACTTCTGGCCAGAGAAAAAACCCGTAATATGTAGCCAACATTTGGAAGAAGAATGTTTTCAAGATGACTTGGATAATAGCGCGTTGTGACAAACACCAGATACAGCACTGGGACTTGATCAACAGCCGATAGCGCACCGTGACGTCACAAACCAGTAGGTGGCAGTAGTGTTCGTTGACAAACATGGATGCCTCCAGTAAAGCACATTCAAATGAAAATTACTCTGAATTAAAAACACTTATCATTTATTTAACAGTATGTGATAACTTCATATTTGAAGAACTTTCAGAAGTTTGAGTTTTGAATATGACCAGACTGGAGATGGATTATGAATTCAATCACATACTGAGACCTAGACTGACTTATTTTTTTGTCCATAGCTTGAAAGATCATAAAACCAATTTGGAAATCCATGGATAAACATTGAAGTGGAATTAGAGGTCGGCTACACGTCTGATCCACAATACAAAGGCACCCTGGAAAAACTTGAGGATTAAACGGCTCGTTAATTGCTTTTATTTAAAAAGAAAGGCAGTGTGTTGAATTATGCCTTCTGACCTAAAAATCTGCTGGGTACAAAAGGCAAGGA